AATTAGAGGCTATCTCAGTGATCAGATGATTAGGAACCGGACCTCCAGGTTCCCAATCTTTAGTAAGAGACCCAGAGCTCTCAGTGAAAGCTCGGTCTCTGTGCTGGGAGCTCTCTGTGCAGTGTGCTCTCAGCACAAACACAGTGGCACATCTGCGTGGTCCCATGGATAAAGACCCTCTCTTGAGAGGGCACGTATATGTGTACACTCATCAGGAAGGTTAAAGATGCATTCCATTTATGGCAATTTTTACTTAGTTACATTGGTCCAGCTTGGAACAACAGAAGTATGCATGTCCTACCTCTGCTGGATCCCTTTGGAAGCTGGAAATCACTGTAGTGGGATCACCACTACAGTGATGTCCAATAGCTTCTGGGTCCTGTGCCGAGCAGCTGCCGTGCTTCCTAATGAACACAGGAGGTCGTTCACTTTGCCTTGGCACCATTCAGGGAACACTTTGCATCTTCTCAATGACGGCAAAGCATTTTCTGATTGGATGAGGTGGGGTTCTGACATCATGATCTTCACCTCATCCAATCAGAGAGCACTCTGCTTTATTTAAAAAAAAAAATGCAAATGTAAGGCAGGGGGGCTGATTGGCAACTTTTGGTCCCCCTCCCGCTTTCCCTCTTCCATGCCTCCTCTTGACCCCCATCCCAAGCTGAAGCTCTGCTCCAGGTACTCTCTGCTCGCTGGGTAGGCAGGACTGGACAGTGCCTGCTGCACTGACTCTGGGTCCCTGAACTGGCCAGCAGAGGGGGGCTGGGAGCTGCAGGGAGGGGGGGCTGGGTGGCTTGGTTGGGGTTGGCTGGGGAAGGAGAGCTTCCAGTGGGGCACGGAGACAGCCTCTGCTCAGACACGGCATACACCATCTATGCCTGGGGGCCGCCTTTGCTCTGTCCTCATCCTCATCCCGCACTTGGTAGGACTCCAGCAGGAACATTTTATACCCCTTCACCAGAAAGCTTTTAGGCATGTCTGTCAGTGTTGCCAAAAACAACATTTCTCCTTTTATATGAAGGTCTGGTTAATATAACCATGCACAGAGTTCCCCCTTCCATCAGAGTCTGCAGGATTCCCCCTATCTGCAAGGGGAATTCTGATGTAATGTCGAACGCTCTGCCAGGGGCGGACTGACAACTCATGGGGCCCCCGGGCAATAGGGGATCATGGGGCCCCTGTGTCCTTGCCCAAACTCAAAAAAGCCTATGAAAAAGGTACCAGGGGCATCTCATGGGGCCCCCTACTGACCCCGGGCCCTCGGGCAGTGCCCGAGTTTCCAAATGGTCAGTCTGCCCCTGCGCTCTGCTATTCATGAATTAAGGAGGAATGCTGCAGACTTTGGTGTAAAGAGGAACTCTAATATAAGGTGGTCTTTGGTCACCAGAGTCCTCCCTTACATCAGAGTCCACAGCGTTCTCCTTTACATCAGAATTGCCACTTACATCAGGGTCTGCACAGCTTCCCCTTGCACTGTAATGGGGAATCCTGCAAACTTTGATGTAAAGGGTAACTCTGAGGACACTGATTTAAGGGAGAATGCTAGAAATTTTGATGTCGGGGATCTGGTGACCACAGACCACCTTTTGCAGTGAATAGACTAAGGTGTGGGGGGAGGGGATTCTGATATAAAGGGTAACCTTTATATCAGTGTCCCCCCTTACCTTACTGTATTCACTCCTCCCTTACATCAGTGAAACCCCCCCCCCAGACTGGCCTCGCGGTGCTGTCACTAACCTCCTCCCATGTGCACCATGCAGGGCTCAGTCAGACGGACCTCTCCGGCTCCAGCTTGTTGGCTCTGGCTTCATCCCACATTCTTCTTTCCACAGTCCGCACATGTCTGACACCTCCTGTGACTCCCGTCTTGGCGGTGCTCCCTCTCTTGACTCCTCTCCAGGCTCCCCTTCAGAGACTGCAGACATGATACAAGAGATGGTCAGAGACTGCAGACATGATACAAGAGATGGTCAGAGACTGCAGACATGATACAAGAGATGGTCAGAGACTGCAGACATGATACAAGAGATGGTCAGAGACTGCAGACATGATACAAGAGATGGTCAGAGACTGCAGACATGATACAAGAGATGGTCAGAGACTGCAGACATGATACAAGAGATGGTCAGAGACTGCAGACACACTGCAAGAGATATACAAAAAATGGCAACCATCCCAACCTATAACCAGCCTTAGCAGCAAGGTGCACATGGAAGGACAATGCACATCACAAACAAACAAAGGATTTCCTAGCACAGTTACCAGCCAGCCTGCAAAACAATCAAATTGGCCTTGTCTGACAGTTTGCATTAAAACAGAGGGTTTTGTTAGCACACATTTGTAAATACAAGCGTAAGTAACTATATAACGTAACACCTATGTAACTATATAAATATATGGGCACACACTGTGGAAAGGGGCACTCTGATGGGCACACCTGATGTGATGGGGATACATGATGTAAAGTTGCCCTCTGATGGCAACACCTAATGTAAGGGGGCACACTGATGGGCACACCCTATGTAAGGTGTCACTGTGATGTGGGAACCTTATATAATGGGGCACTCTAATGGGGACAACTGATGTAAGGGGGCACACTGATGGGAGACACCAAATGTAAGGGGGCCTTCTCATGCATAAACCTGATGTAAGGGGGCACACTGATGGAAATGCCTGATGTATGGGGCACTCTGATGGGAATGCCTGATGTAAGGGGGCACTCTGATGGGAATGCCTGATGTAAGGGGGCACTCTGATGGGAATGCCTGATGTATGGGTTCACTCTGATGGGAATGCCTGATGTATGGGGGCACTCTGATGGGAATGCCTGATGTAAAGGGGCACTCTGATGGGAATGCCTGATGTAAGGGGGCACTCTGATGTGAATGCCTGATGTAAGGGGGCACTCCGATGGGAATGCCTGATGTATGGGGCACTCTGATGGGAATGCCTGATGTAAGGGAGCACTCTGATGGGAATGCCTGATGTAAGGGGGCACTCTGATGTATGGGGGCACGCTGATGGGAATGCCTGATATATGGGTGTACTCTGATGGGAATGCCTGATGTATGGGGCACTCTGATGGAAATGCCTGATGTATGGGGCACTCTGATGGGAATGCCTGAAATATGGGGCACTCTGATGGGAATGTCTGATGTGAAATATGGGGGCACTCTGATGGGAAATGTCTGATGAGGCACTCTGATGGGAATGCCTGAAATATGGGGGTACTCTGATGGGAATGTCTGATGTATGGGGCACTCTGATGGGAATGCCTGAAATATGGGGGTACTCTGATGGGAATGTCTGATGTATGGGGCACTCTGATGGGAATGCCTGAAATATGGGGCACTCTGATGGGAATGTCTGATGTATGGGGTACTCTGATGGGAATGGAAAATGGGGGCCTGATGGGAATGCCTGATACATGGGGGCACTCTGATGGGAATGCCTGATGTATGGGGGCACTCTGATGGGAATGCCTGATGTATGGGGGCACTCTGATGGGAATGCCTGATGTATGGGGGCACTCTGATGGGAATGCCTGATACATGGGGGTACTCTGATGGGAATGCCTGATGTATGGGGGCACTCTGCTGGGAATGCCTGATGTATGGGGGCACTCTGATGGGAATGCCTGATACATGGGGGTACTCTGATTGGAATGCCTGATACATGGGGGTACTCTGATGGGAATGCCTGATGTATGGGGGCACTCTGATGGGAATGCCTGATGTATGGGGGCACTCTGATGGGAATGCCTGATACATGGGGCACTCTGATGGGAATGCCTGATACATGGGGGCACTCTGATGGGAATGCCTGAAATGGGGGCACTCTGATGGTGAGTGCCTGATACATGGGGGCACTCTGATGGAATGTCTGATGAATGGGGGCATTCTAATGGAAATGCTTGATGTATGGGGGCACTCTGATGGGAATGCCTGATACATGGGGGTACTCTGATGGGAATGTCTGATGTATGGGGCACTCTGATGGAAATGCCTGTACATGGGGGTACTCTGATGGGAATGCCTCTTACATGGGGGAACTCTGATGGGAATGCCTCATACATGGGGGCACTCTGATGGGAATGTCTGATGTATGGGGGGCATTCTAATGAAATGCTTGATGTATGGGTGCACTCTGATGGGAATGCCTGATACATGGGGGTACTCTGATGGGAATGCCTGGATACATGGGGGTACTCTGATGGGAATGCCTGATACATGGGGTACTCTGATGGGAAATGTCTGATGTATGGGGCACTCTGATGGGAATGCCTCATACATGGGGGAACTCTGATGGGAATGCCTCATACATGGGGGCACTCTGATGGAAATGTTTTATTGACAGGATCTTCTTGAATTTGAATTCATTACCCCTGGTGTATATAGTGGCATTGGTGAAAGCTGGAGCAATATAACTATGTAACAATGGAGCACACCTGGGATCCTTCTTCACTGATTGGACATTGTATTATATATGTACTATTATATGTAGAGTGTATTCTGTATTTTCAGTATTTGGGTCGCATTCCTTTCATCACATTCCGCTTCCCAATGTTTCCCTTCTACATGAACAGCTCCTATATGTGTAGATCCAGATCATCATCAGAAGGGGCGTGTCCCCATCCTCCAATCACAGCTCTCTGGGCTCCAATCAGAGTGGGCGTTACATGTCCAGCCGGGGAGATGGAGTTAAAGGTCTTCTGTCACATGTCGGTATTGGTGGTGTCAGGAGCCCCGTCCAGGTGACGCACACAGGACTCCTCATCCCCGGCACAGCGAGGAGCGCTGCCCACTGACACTCCGCTGTCTGGGGATGAACAATAGACGGACCCGGCGCTGTGCCGCCTCCGCTCCTCAGCGCCGCTCCGTTCAGCACCACCGCCGTCCCGGACAGCTCCGACACCATCACTGAGCGAGCCCAGCTTCCTCCCCCTCCCCCCTCCGATACACTGCAAGACGGTTCTAGCAGGGCACCGAGCCCGGGGGGCCATGGGGCTCCACTCTATCCTTGTCTTCACTGCCCTCCTCGGGGTCTATGTACACGGATTCCCCAAACCCGACACCACCCAAGGTGAGATCTCCCCCCACCACCTACCGATCCGTCCTACTCCGACATTACATCACATCGTCAGGACAGACTCCGATCTACTGCAACCTTCATCGGATTACATCGGGCAATACTTCATCACATTATTACTGCAGAGTATCATGTTATTGGGGAAATGTAGATCATCAGTGGAGGATGGAGCCATAGAGACTCCGATGTGCTGCAACCTTCATCGGATTATTACATCGGGGCAATACTTCATCGGATTAATAATGTAGATTGTTACATGGGGGGAAGGGGATAAACTCAATGTAGAGGAGTCTGGTTCAAATGATTTTATTGGGGAAATACTTCATCAAACTATTAATGGAGATTATTTCATGGGGATATGTATAGGATACCTCATCAGATTATTTAATGGGGAAATGTATAGGATACCTCATCAGATTATTTAATGGGGGAAATGTATAGGATACCTCATCAGATTATTTAATGGGGGAGATGTATAGGATACCTCATCAGATTATTTCATGGGGGAGATGTATAGGATACCTCATCAGATTATTTCATGGGGGAGATGCATAGGATACCTCATCAGATTATTTCATGGATGGGATACCTCATCAGATTATTTAATGGGGGAAATGATAGGATACCTCATCAGATTATTTAATGGGGGGAGATGTATAGGATACCTCATCAGATTATTTCATGGGGGAGATGTATAGGATACCTCATCAGATTATTTCATGGGGGGAGAATGCATAGGATACCTCATCAGATTATTTCATGGGGGAGATGTATAGGATACCTCATCAGATTATTTAATGGGGGAAATGTATAGGATACCTCATCAGATTATTTCATGGGGAAGATGTATAGGATACTTCATCAGATTATTTCATGGGAGAGATGTATAGGATACTTCATCAGATTATTTAATGGGGGAGATATATAGGATACCTTCAACAGATTATTTCTTGGGGGAGATGTATAGGATACTTCATCAGATTATTTCATGGGGGAGATGTATAGAATACTTCATCAGATTATTTCATGGGGGAGATGTATAGGATACTTCATCAGATTATTTCATGGGGAGATGTATAGGATACTTCATCAGATTATTTCATGGGGGAGATGTATAGGATACCTCATCAAATTTTTCCATGGGGGAGATGAATATGTTACCTCATCAGATTATTTCATGGGGAGATGTATAGGATACTTCATCAGATTATTTCTTGGGGAGATGTATAGGATACTTCATCAGATTATTTCTTGGGGAGATGTATAGGATACTTCATCAGATTATTTCTTGGGGAGATGTATAGGATACTCATCAGATTATTTCTTGGGGAGATGTATAGGATACTTCATCAGATTATTTCATGAGGTAAATACTTCATCAAACTAATACTGCAGATTATAATTTTATTGGGAAAATGTAGACTAAATGTAGAAGATATTCATCAGATCATCAATGCTGGATGGAGCCATAGAGCAACTGATTTACTAGTAAACCATAAATGTATCATCTATCAGATATGTATACAGATTATTTCATTAGAGAAATATATACTAAATATAGACGATACTACATCAGATTAATAATGTAGGAAGCAGTGATAAAGCAATCGATTCACTATTAAAGCATGACTGACATTCATCAGATTAATAATGCAGATTATTTCAAACAGAAATGTAGCCTAAATGTAGAATACACTTCTTTAGATCATTTCATTCATGAAATACGTCATCAGATTATTACTGCAGAATATGTATAGGATGTAGAGGAATCTGAATTAAATGATTTAATTGGTGAAATACTTCATCAAACTATTAATGTGGATTATTTCATGGGGGGAATGGATAGTATATGTCATCAGATTATTACATTGGGGAAATACTTCATCAGATTAATAATGTAGATTATTACATGGGGGGATAGACTCGGTGTAAAGGAATCTGAATCAGATGATTTCATTGGAAAAAAACGTAATCAAACTATTAATGCAGATTATTTCATGGGAGCAAAGTTTAGTATACTTCATCAGATTATTTTATGGGGGGACAGTGTATGGAATACTTCAGATTATTTTCATGGGGGAGGGAAATACTTCATCAAATTATTTTACTGCAGATATACTTAATCAGATTTATCATGGGGGGAAAGTAGACTAAATTTAAATGTTTCATCAGATACTTCATCAATGCATGGCGGGGGATCAGGAGCGGACTGACAATTTCATGGGGCCCCCGGGCAATAGGGGATTTCATTGGGGTCCCCTGTGCCTTTCCCAATTATTTTATTGGGGAAAAAGGATATTTCATCAAAGGTACAAGGGGGAATCTCATGGGGATACCAGATTACTTCCCCGGGCCTTCGGGCATTACTGAAGAGTTTCCAAATGGTCAGTCCGCCCCTGTGCCGGATGCAATAGAGCAACTGATTTATTAGTAAACCATAAATGTATAATTTATCAGTTTATTTATACAGATTATTTCATTAGATAAATATATACTAAATACAGAAGATACCACATCAGATTAATAATGCAGGATGTAGTGATTAAAGAATTGATTTACTATTAAAGCATGACTAACATTTATCAGATTATTCATGCAGAATATTTCAAAGGGGAAATGCAGACTAAACTTCTTTAGATTATTTCATTGGTGAAATACTTCACCACATTATTACTATAGAATATCATGTTATTGGGGAAATGTAGATCATCAATGGAGAATGGAGCCATAGAGACTCCGATCTACTGCAACCTTCGTCATATTATTACATTGGGGAAATACTTCATCGGTTTATCTCTACAGATTATAATTTTATTGGGGGAATATGGATGAAATGTGGAAGATACTTCATGAGATTATTAATGTAAATTATTACATTGGGGGGAAGTAAACTCAATGTAGAGTATTCTTAATCTGATTATTTCATTAGATCATACTTTATCAGTTTATTCATGCAGATTATAATTTTAGTGGGGGAAATATAGACTGAATATTGAAGATACTTCATCAGATTATAAATGCAGGATGGGGATGATAGAGCGACTGATTTACTATTAAAGCATGACTGTAACCTTTATCGGATTATTAATACAGAATATTTAATTAAGGAAATGTAGAAAATACTTTTTGAGATTGTTAATACAGATTATTTAATTGGAGGGAATGTATCCTAAATATAGAAGGTACTTTATCAGATTATTATTATTACAGATTATTTCATTGGAGAGAATGTATCCTAAACATAGAATATACTTCATCAGATTATTAATACAGATTATTTCATTGGAGAGAATGTATCCTAAATGTAGTATATACTTAAGATTATTAATACAGATTATTTCATTGGGGGAATGTATCCTAAATGTAGAAGATACTTCAGATTATTATACAGATTATTTCATTGGGGGGAATGTATCCTAAATGTAGAAGATACTTTATCAGATTATAATAGATTATTTCATTGGGGGAATGTATCCTAAATGTACAAGATACTTTATCAGATTATTAATACAGATTATTTCATTGGAGGAAATGTATCCTAAATGTAGAAGATACTTTATCAGATTATTTCATTGGGGGGAATGTATCCTAAATGTAGAAGATACTTTATCAGATTATTAATACAGATTATTTCATTGGGGAGAATGTATCCTAAATGTAGAATATACTTAAGATTATTAATACAGATTATTTCATTGGGGGAATGTATCCTAAATGTAGAAGATACTTTATCAGATTATTTCATTGGGGGGAATGTATCCTAAATGTAGAAGATACTTTATCAGATTATTTCATTGGGGGAATGTATCCTAAATGTAGAAGATACTTTAGCAGATTATTTCATTGGGGGGAATGTATCCTAAATGTAGACGATACTTTATCAGATTATTAATACAGATTATTTCATTGGAGGAAATGTATCCTAAATGTAGAATATACTTTATCAGATTATTAATACAGATTATTTCATTGGAGGAAATGTATCCTAAATGTAGAAGATACTCAGATTATTAATCAGATTATTTCATTGGGGGGAATGTATCCTAAATGTAGAAGATACTTTATCAGATTATAATACAGTTTATTTGATTGGAAAGAATGTATCCTAAATGTAGAAATATACTTCAGATTATTAATACAGATTATTTAAATGGAGATAATGTATCCTAAATGTAGAATATACTTTATCAGATTAATAATACAGATTATTTCATTGGGGGGAATGTATCCTAAATGTAGAAAATACTTCATCAGATTATTAATGTTGGATGTAGTGATGAAGTTAGCGATTCTTATTAAAGCATGACTGTAACATTCATCCGATTGATAACACAGATTATTTCATTGGAGAATTGTTGACTAAACGAAGAATATACTTCATCAGATTACCAATGCAGGATATAGTGATATAGGAACTGACGTCCTGTGAAAGCCTGACTTGAATGGTATACATGTGTAGTTTGCATAAAGGAAATGCAGAGCAGGATGGATTTGAAGGGTGGCCAGTAGAGATGTTCCCTTCTAATCCTCAGATTAAACTAATCCGATTAGACGTGTTTCTCCACAACCAGCTCTTAAAGGAATGACATGTTCTGTAAAGCACAAGAATTCTTCAAAAGGTTATATTTGTTAATTGAAAATGAAGTCCATTCGTTATACCTTATGTCTAAAGCACCAGTCTGAAAATCTGTTAATCTGTTTTGTTCTTTGTAGACAAAGCTCTGCATAATAGAGAACTAAGTGTAGAAAGACCCCTAGAAGAGCAGGTAAGTTACCATGTGGTGTGCCTGCATATAGCTGGTATATTTTCATTTTGTATCAAAAGAATATTGCTAGGGCACATATACGGGATATCTACTAGAATGGAATTGATTTGTATAGTCTCGTAGTAGATCACTTGCTACAAGCAGGGGCGGACTGACAACTCATGGGGCCCCCGGGCAATAGGGGAACATGGGGCCCCTGTGTCCTTGCCCAAACTCAAAAAAGCCTCTGAAAAAGTTACCAGGGGCATCTCATGGGGCCCCCTACTGACCCCAGGCCCTCGGGCAGTGCCCGAGTTTCCAAATGGTCAGTCCGCCCCTGGCTACAAGTGTAAAGAAGTTGTTAAATTGTGCAATATGTTCAAGCAGATGTTATGTTTACAAACATAGAAAGACCCCTAGAAGAGCAGAGACATGTAATGTGTCTGCCTACAACTTGTATGTTTTCATTCATTTCATATGACATGTCTGTGACGGTTCCCATTTATTCAGATCATGGAATATTTAGTAGTAGATAGTCACATTGATGCAGACTGTAATGTTGAAGATGTTTCATAGCTCAGTGTTTCTCAACCTTTTTTCAGTCAAGGCACCCTTTAAAATTCTGCACAATGTTGAGGTCCCCCCATTACAAAATGTAAAAAAAACGAATAGTTTTACAAAATGCAAAAATATCTTCACATGTGGGACACCCAGTGTTAGAGGTGATTTATTCTTCCAGAGCAAATATACCTTTGCACACTGGTACTGACTAGTATTCCTTTGTTTCTCTTCTCCCTCAGTTTCTCTCTAACTCAGCTAATGTGATCTCAGTGCTGATGGAGAGGGGCAGGGAAGGGGCAAACAAGGATGCTGTGCTGGTGCCCAACGTCCTTCTTATCAACTGATGACATCATTGGTGTTATGTCATCGACAACTAGAAAGTTGTAATGACCCACATCGAAAAACCTGTGCCTTTGCATAATTAAAAGGCAGGCTTGATCCACCTGTTGGTTTGTATACAATGTTTTAGGCAATTTTTAGGCATTTTACCAAGGCATCCCTGAAGAAACCTGAAGGCACCCTGGTTGAAAAAGGCTGTCATAGCTTATAAGGCCATCTTCTGCGTTTCTAGAGTGTCAGGAAGATACCCCAGCATTTATATCCACACCTTAGGACACCCTAATCCAATCACCACAGAATGTACCAATTGATTGTTTAGGAGCAGGATCAGGGGTATGAAAATTGTGGTGCCATCACCTCTTAGGTATACCCCATTGTTGGTGTCAGAAACCTGCATATGTGCTTTTTCCTAGATTTACCTGCCTAAAAGTGTGAATTGTTGTCAAATGGAAGGGTAAAGGTGTTAAACTGGCATTATATCAAAAGAATAATGCTAGAGCAGAATATATAGAATATTTACTACTGTAAACCTAGTAACGAATTAAGATGGATTGTGTATAATAGGGATGCAACGATACCAGTTTTTTAAGACCGAGTACAAGTACTGACACTTTTTCTCAATTACTTGCCAATGCCAATCACCGATACCTATATTTGGTGTTGTGACAGTTTTTTTAAATCAAAAATTATTACTGTTTCTTTATCATTATAAAGGATTGTAGCTCATAAGACATTGCTCGGGTGATTTAGTGGTAGCCCAGCAGTGTATGGATTTATATATTTACAAATTAAATACTAAATGTAACTATTTTTTACGTTTTTAACTTATTTATTTCACTACACCTATTTGCTGTGCCTTTGTCCTGGTGGTGTAGTGGTAGGCCCCAGCAAACATAAAATCAATCATTGCCTTGGATACATTTATTTTTACACATAATGCCCAACTCACCTGTCTCTGCCCTGGTGGTGTAGTGGTCGTGCACTTGGCAGAGCTTCGACAGTCTGGATGTTGTCTCACACTGCAGCACCCTAATTGATGTGTGTGACGTCAGACTTCCATGAGTCGCCCTTGCATGATGTGCTCCTGCGTCTCTCTCCATAAAGGGGCGGTTACATTCTGCAGACTTGAAGGTATTGGTTTAGTATTGGAGCATTTGCACGAGTAAAAATGCTTAGTATCGCCACCAATACTGGTATCGATGCAACGCTAGTGTATATACAGCAGGTAAACTATTGAACATGTCACCATTTTCTCAGTAAATATATTTCTAAAGGTGCTATTGACATGAAATTTTCATCACATGTCAGTAACAACCAATGAAATCTACATACAAAGAAATCAAAACAAATAAATTCAGAAATTAAGTTATGTGTAATAAAATGGAATGACATAGGGAAAAAGTATTGAACACATGAAGAAAGGGAGATGCAAAAAGGCATGGAAAGCCAAGACACCAGCTGAAATTAATCAGTAATCAGAAAGCAATCCTGACACTTGTTAGTGCAAATCAGCTGGTTCAGTCTCAACTGTTGGCCTATTAAAAGGTGTCTCATTACCAAGGTGTCGCACAAGAACGAGAAACGCAAATAACCTTCTCAAGACCTTCGCAACTTTTTTGTTGCAAAACATACTGATGGCATTGGTTACAGAAGGATTTCTAAACTTCAGAATGTTCCAGTGAGCACTGTTGGGGCCATAATCCAGAAGTGGAAAGAACATGATTTCACCATACATTGGCCACGACCAGGTGCTCCTTGCAAGATTTCTGACAGAGGATGGAAACGAATTATCAGAAGAGTTGTCCAAGAGCCAAGAACCACTTGTGGAGAGCTTCAGAAAGGCCTGGCATTAGCAGGTACAATTGTTTCAAAGAAACAATAAGTAATGCACTGAACTGCCATGGCCTGTATACACACTCACCACGCAAGACTCCATTGCTGAATAAAAAGCATGTTGAATCTCGTTTAAAGCTTGCACAACATTTAACAAGCCTGTGAAATACAGAGAGAATATAGTCTGGTCAGCTGAGAACAAAACTGAACTCTTTGGATGTCATAATACACACCATGTTTGGATGTCAAATGGCATTGCACATCACCCCAAAAACACCATACCAACAGTCAAGTTTGGAGGTGGGAACATCATGGTGTGGGGCTGTTTTTCAGCATACGGTACTGGCAAACTTCATGTGATTGAAGGAAGGTTGATTGGAAAAATGTACCAAGACATTCTTGATAAAAATCTGCTGCCATCTACCAGGATGATGAAGATGAAATGAGGGTGGACATTTCAGCAAGACAATAATCCCAAACACAAAGCCAAGGAAACTCTCAATTAGTATCAAAGAAAGAAAATAAAGCTGCTAGAATGGCCCAGCCAATCCTTTGACGTGAATCCAATAGAAAATCTATGGAAAGAACTAAAGTTCAGAGTTCATAGAAGATTTGAAGGCTGTATGGAAGAATGGGCCAAAATCAAACCTGAGCGATGCATGCGAAGCATACCAACAAAGGATTTTGTACGAAGTATTAAATAAATTTCAGTTAGTGTGTTCAATACTTTTTCCCTGTATTATTCCATTTTATTACACATAACTTAATTTCTGAACTTATCTGTTTTGGTTTTTTTTTCTATGTCTGGATTGCATGGGTTGTTACTGACATGTGGTGAAAATTTCATGTCAATAGCACCTTTAAAAATATACAGTATTTACTTAGAAAAATGGTGACATGTTCAATACTTATCTTGTCCGCTGTACATATGCACACACACATATATATATATATATATATATATATATATATATATATATATATACAGTCAGGTCCATAAATATTGGGACATCAACACAATTCTAAAATTTTTGGCTCTATACACCACCACAATGGATTTGAAATGAAATGAACAAGATGTGCTTTAACTGCAGACTGTCAGCTTTAATTTGAGGGTATTTATATCGAAATCAGGTGAACGGTGTAGGAATTACAACAGTTTGCATATTTGCCTCCCACTTAATGGACCAAAAGTAATGGGACAGAATAATAATCATAAATCAAACTTTCACTTTTTAATTCTTGGTTGCAAATCCTTTGCAGTTAATTACAGCCTGAAGTCTGGAACGCATAGACATCACCAGACGCTGGGTTTCATCCCTGGTGATGCTCTGCCAGGCCTCTACTGCAACTGTCTTCAGTTCCTGCTTGTTCTTGGGGCATTTTCCCTTCAGTTTTGTCTTCAGCAAGTGAAATGCATGCTCAATCGGATTCAGGTCAGGTGATTGACTTGGCCATTGCATAACATTCCACTTCTTTCCCTTAAAAAACACTTTGGTTGCTTTTGCAGTATGCTTTGGGTCATTGTCCATCTGCACTGTGAAGCGGCGTCCAATGAGTTTTGAAGTATTTGGCTGAATATGAGCAGATAATATTCCCGAAACACTTCAGAATTCATCCTGCTGCTTTTGTCAGCAGTCACATCATCAATAAATAAAAGAGAACCAGTTCCATTGGCAGCCATACATGCCCACGCCATGGCACTACCACCACCATGCTTCACTGATGAGGTGGTATGCTTAGGATCATGAGCAGTTCCTTTCCTTCTCCATACTCTTCTCTTCCCATCACTCTGGTACAAGTTGATCTTGGTCTCATCTGTCCATAGGATGTTGTTCCAGAACTGTGAAGCTTTTTTAGATGTCGTTTGGCAAACTCTAATCTGGCCTTCCTGTTTTTGAGGCTCACCAATGGTTTACAACTTGTGGTGAACCCTCTGTATTCACTCTGGTGAAGTCTTCTCTTGATTGTTGACTTTGACACACATACACCTACCTCCTGGAGAGTGTTCTTGATCTGGCCAACTGTTGTGAAGGGTGTTTTCTTCACCAGGGAAAGAATTCTTCGGTCATCCACCACAGTTGTTTTCCGCGGTCTTCCGGGTCTTTTGGTGTTGCTGAGCTCACCGGTGCGTTCCTTCTTTTAAAGAATGTTCCAAACAGTTGTTTTGGCCACGCCTAATGTTTTTGCTATCTCTCTGATGGGTTTGTTTTGTTTTTTCAGCCTAATGATGGCTTGCTTCACTGATAGTGACAACTCTTTGGATCTCATCTTGAGAGTTGACAGTA